TTGGTATGCAAGGGGAATAAAAGTAAGGGCAGAGCTAACTTAAGATTGAAAACGATTTTCGATATCTATTAGGAATTATCATCTATCATCACCACAACAGTGGTTGGACACGCACCTTCACTCCCGTTTCATTAACTAGAACATATCATATCCTTAACTATTTGTGAACAGTAATCTAATCTAGAACTACGTCTGCCCTACGTCTGCTTTATTTCTATTTCTGATTATAATATGTCTCTAACTATCCTGAGAAGGTGTCCTATCGATCTCTGTTGTCCTATTCTTTCTAATACCTCCTCTTCTAAAATGATAGAGACATAAAAAAAATGGAAAAGCACAGGGTCGAATCGCTTTTAACAAAAAGAGATCTGATTTTCTTTTGTTAATTTAAAATTCCAAACCCTTATAACACTCAAAAGTCTGCCTTTTTTTCACAACCGATAATCTCAAACGTTTGAAATTTGAACTACTAATGAATGAAATAAAGAGATGACCTGATTTTTTTCTTATTCGTGTGCCATGAGGGTATTGTTTTAGAGCTTTTTTTTAATAAATACAAATTTCTTCACAATTCGAAATCAGTAATCTTCTATGTTACATAGAAAAATAGTTTGTTTCGCAATAACGAATTTGCACAATGCATTACGTATACATTGTTGTCATATTTCAGAAGCGAGCAAGCGTATAAGATTTCGTTCTGTTTGTTGTTCAGAAAATTCTTCGCAAAATACTTCACGTAACACATTTCCTTTGTTGAAGCCTTATTTTTTTTTCGGCTATTTTACGTTACATAGTTCGAATTCTACAACTCGTCGCGATTGTAAACAAAATAAATTGGCAAATGCTTTCGTTGCATTCGTTGCTTTTTTAAGTTTGATTTATTGGACAATGGAGAAAAACGTTGTATTCAATATTAAACATTTTTCAACCCCCTCAAAGCTCGAAATATGCACACGCAATGGAAGGAATCTCTCGGAATCTAGGACCTTTGTCAAATAACCGAAAACAGGTACGTATAAATGATCAATATGAAGTGTATAGAGAAAATATTAACAAAATAACTTCAATTTCTATAAATTCCTAATTGTAACTAATTCTCAATTTCACGCCGTTCTTAATCACTCCACTCCCATTCTTTCTTCAAATAGATTTTCCTAAGCAAGCATTTTTCATAAAGTTAATACTAAACGAGGAAATTAAAAGAAAATCTGCTTCATCAGTTTCGCCTTCTCTCTGACCTTTCCGCAAACTTGAATCGTTAAATGTGTTAGTTTTTACTAAATATCATCTGTACCGCGTTACAAACAAATCGGCTATTTGTTTATTCAAAGGAGCATGTTGCAGCATCCCGACGTCTTGCATGATCTGTATTATGTACCAACAGATAGTTTTGATATATTCGAGTCGAAAATTGGCCCGGAAAACGTGTCTATAATCAACCGTTTGTATCTCATACGCATACGATTTACTGCCTTACATGCGTCATAAATATTGGAGGATTTTAAAAACTCTACAACATAATATCAAATCGTAAAGTTTAGAGATACAAAACGGTACAGTGGTCCTTTTTATACTCCAAGGCGACCGTTAAAACGAATATGAAAACAAATAAAATATCGAAAAGCACAACACATGTGTCAGAAAATGGTACGTATGTACTGCCGATCTTTCTTTTTTGTACACCTTGGAATATTTTCGGGAACCAGCCTATCTTTTACTGACAGAGAGGGAGAATGATAATGATCGTACTAAAAATAAATTTTCAACTCCATTGGGACCCGTCAAATTAGGCATTATAGGCCTACACCACCTGACGGTGAAACTTATGACTTGAGGAGGCACAACTTGCACGCGGATTGTGAAATTATTTATTAAAATCATAAAAAGCGTTAAATAAATCAAAAATTTATTGATAATATGAAATCCGCAGTTTTCTCTTCTTGCGAAATCGAATAAACAGTTGATAAAAGCACCCTCTCGTCTACGCCATGTTTTTTAGGCTCCACCTATTTGACGGATCTCAATAAAGAAACAAAAACCTAGCCAACAGAAGAGTACGAAACCAATCAATCGCGTCGATGAAAACGACAACTTTTACTTTTCGAAGAGTTTTACGAATCCCATTCCATACAATTACGAGGCAATCAAAGAATAAACTGTCGTTGAATAAATTGCTTATGATTAGAAGCAGCAATGCGCGACTGAAAGAAGATAATGAAAATGATCGTAATACGCCGAAATTTCGAAATCATAATAAAAAGGTTAATTTTCTTAGAATAAAGATACTGGAGCAATAAGGGTCTTATCAGTATTCATTAATATAAATTAACTATTTTAAAGATTTACTGATAACGAGCACATTCAATTCAATGAAACTCCCTTAAACAATTATTTTTCGGATAGAAACAGATGAAGACAGATGCGGGTTAATTTATTATAAACCAAATAGCATTTCACAGATCTAATTATCATTTGTAGGAACTTGAAAGTAAACTTCGTCTAGAGGAAGTTTATTAATATCTTTGAGTAATGGAAATATGTACATTTGTATCCAACTTCAGNGATTTACTGATAACGAGCACATTCAATTCAATGAAACTCCCTTAAACAATTATTTTTCGGATAGATCTGGTGGATCCGTCAGAAACAGATGAAGACAGATGCGGGTTAATTTATTATAAACCAAATAGCATTTCACAGATCTAATTATCATTTGTAGGAACTTGAAAGTAAACTTCGTCTAGAGGAAGTTTATTAATATCTTTGAGTAATGGAAATATGTACATTTGTATCCAACTTCAGTGGTGGCTCGTCAAGATACAATGTATTTGCGGTTATTCATTCGTATTAAATTTTTTCAGTATCATCATTTGTAATGATTCAATCGGGAGGTAAGTTGCCTAACTGATTAAATGTAGTCAATAAATGTCTTTTTCTTTTCTCAAAAATAGAAGAAACGCTCCCCCCCTGACCTTTTGACGTCTTAAATACTTGTCAAAGGTCATTGACCACCACATAAAACTAATTTTTCTATAGTTTAGAATCAGTATTTTTTTATGAATAAAAAGTTACCCTATGTCCTTTTCTGTACCCTTGACAATGTGTGTACAAAATTTCATGACGATAGGTTGAGTAATTAAGGCGTGACATCGTAACAAACAATCGCATTTATAATATTAGTTTGAATTAGATGTTTTGTATAACTTAACTGATGACCCTACGATGATGATCAACATAACAAAAATAATAGACCTTCAAAGTTTCAATTTCAACCAAACTTGCCGAGGAAATACCATCAGCTTTTCCCGATAAATCATTTAAATAAAAGGAAAAAAAAATGTACAGATCAAAGACACTAATTTGCATCCAACATAATATCTTATCTTGTGATAAAATAAACATACAGCCACTGTCAAAGAGGAAATTTATCGATATACATTTCTATTACCGTTTCATCAGTCATGTGTAATCGAGAACATTTTTCAAAAACGAAAATATCGAATGCGGCTTCGAGGGATTTCCCTTTTCCCAAATCCAGCCGAAATTCCCCTCATAAATATGAACGAGACCCTTGCTTTGCATACAACTTATAGTAACTAATTCCGGCTCTTGTGAAACAGGGTTGAAATTTCCAAAAGTAAATCTAATGAAGTTTATAGCCAGCCGGGCATCAAAAACTTTACTTTCAAGAAAGAACATATAAAGTGTAAAGTAGAATAGGAGAAGTACGCAATGGGCAAAAAGAAAAGAATAGATAAAATGTGATTTCTCGTTTAGAGAGCTCCGGGAACAATAAAAAGGAATCCCTTTTGCAACGACACATGAATTATTTTAAAACTTTCAGAACAAATGCGAAAATCTACGAATTTGCAAGTATTTTCCCGGCAATTTTTATTCTAAAAATAGGAAACCAAATGAACTTTTGAAACTTAATGTACCCAATTTATTTAAAATCATTCAGAAATAAACGTCGCACAAAATGATTTTACGATTGCGATTTATAAAAGGAATTAAAACCAGAAAAAACTATTCAATAACAGACTCATCTTCAAAGTTTTGTTATACATACAACAATACCTCTAAAATAGACTTATTTACGAAACTATCATCATCATCATAAGGTCGTAAGTCCTAAGACTGGTTGGACACGTGGGGATGCGTGTCTCTTTTCTATCCTGAGCTAAACTTCGCATTTCCCTAAAACTAGAACAGCCCACATCCTTAACTATTTGCGAACAGTAATCTAATCTAGGTCTACCTCTACCCCTCCTAACTCCTGTTTCTACCTCTAATATGTCTTTTACTAGACCTTCATGCCTGAGAAGGTGTCCTACCAACATATCTCGCCTATTTTTTATTGACTTCCATAGAGTCCTCTGTTCTCCTATTCTTTCTAATACCTCTTCATTTCTACCCACGTTATCCTCATCATCCGCCTATAACACCACATTTCGAACGCTTCTAACCTTTTCTTTTCCGCCGCTCCCACTGTCCATGTTTCGCACCCGTACAACGCCGTGCTCCAAACATACACCTTTAACAATCTTTTTCGAATTTCTAAATTAACCGTTCTCGAGAATAGAAGTGACTTCTTTTTATTAAAGGCGACACGACCCTGCGCTATCCTCTGCTTTATATCGCTACTACTCCTTCCATCCTGACTTATCTGACTTCCTAGGTATCTAAATTCAGCCACATCTAATTTTTCGTCTCCTATCTTTATATTCGCTCTTTCCCTACTTTTTCTTCCCTTGTATACCAGTATTTTAGTTTTACTTTTATTTATTTTCATACAGTACTGATCTGTCAGTACCGCTTCAATTTTATTTAAAGCTATCTCTAGGTCCTCCTTGTTAGATGTTAATACTGCTATATCATTACGAAACTAATTAAAAAAAAAAAAAGAAATACGTTTTTTCTTTTTAATATGTTTCGAGCACTTTTGCTACAATAACCTGCTGCGAACAACGAACGCTAATTCCCTTGTTTTTGGTTTCCAGAACAAAGTCCTGGAGGAGAATAATCACTTCAAGGTACTGATGCAATTTAGTCTAATCCTGTCCTACACGAATTACGGAATCAATTTTGCACTCTACTGCATTAGCGGACAGAACTTTCGCAAAGCTCTACGATCAGTTCTCTGCACCAGATGTCACAGAGACGACACTACTGGTAATGCCGGTAAATATCTATTCAATAAGGTCCTAACTTGATCTTTTATCTATTTCATACTCGTAATTAAGTTCATTACTAACACAAAGCTCGCAAACATCCACGAAATAGTCAATACAACTACAATAGCACTGCTTTATCGCATTTTTGTAAAGGATAAATTAATTACAATCGAAACTGTTCATTGGACGTTATAGCCGCTGCATTTAATGTCATAGAACGGAAACTCATACGTTATACTCGGTGCGTCGTTTTAAGCGATGCCGCTGTAAATGGTTTTGATTGTACATACCTACATGTAAATTATTGTTTATCTCATCTTTTGTAAAGGATAAATTAATTACAATCAAAACAGTAAATTATTATTTGCTAAAAAACAATCAGAACTGTTACTTGGACGTTATAGCCGCTACATTTTTCCAAAAACTAAAATACAGACAATACGTCGCTATAAGCGATGTCATAGAAGGGAAACTCTTCATTTCACCATTACACTCGGTGCGTCGTTGATGTCACTATATACGGTTTTTATTGTACATACCTACCATACATTCAATGCAATTCAATTCAAATTTATTACCACAACAATATACAGCAGGTTATACTTGTTTACATGTAGATTGTACCCATAAGTAGAAATCAGATTTCTGCATTCTATTCATGTAAATAATTTTTTATCTATTTTTTCTACAGAAAGCAGAACAAATTCGAGTGGGTTTTCAGCGACTTCTAGGAAACGACGAGCGCCCTTTTCAACGAACAATACCCAAGAAATGACTTTACTGAATGTCCTCTAATTGTAAGTTAAATGTGATAAAAGTGTTATAATAAATAATAAATCTCTATTAGATGTATTATTATGTCTGTAAATGTACTGTTAATGTATGTATCAATAAGCATAAGACTCAGTCAATAATAAAATAAAATACCATTATTCACGAATTGTTTTTAATTAACAATTTTCAAGTATTTAAAACAAGTTCAATTTAATTGAATCCAATTCTCAACAACCATTTGAAGAAAGTTTTTCGGTTCACAACGAAAAGCGGACAATTCAAAGCGGAAAGTTTAATTAAATCTGAAATTCAACTTTCGTGACTGCCGTTGGAGTCTAAAAAAACAGCGCAGTCAATAGATTGTTCCCATTTTCCTCGCCGAAGAGACTGTTAATTTAGCAAAACAGGTAAAAAATTCCTCAATGTGTCAATTTCCCCATCATAACCCACCCTTCATGATCATTACCCGTCTAGACGACGCCACAACTAATTGTCGATTTAATGAAACTATCGGCCGATATTGTTAACGCGAAAAAACAAGAGTACGTAATTCAAACAATGTCGTCCTTTAGGATATTAGATTGATAACACTCGGTACCTATCTATCATCACCATCTATCTCTACACCCAATTACTACTTCTAAATAGAAGACTTAAATCAAAACATGACCGGTAAAGCATTAGTTAATGAATAACTAATTTTGTTGAAGTTATCACAAACTTCCGCGCTCACATTAACAAGAACTGTACACATACCTAAAATGCAAATTGAAAACACAACAAACAGACAAATTGTTTTTTGATAAATCGTTTAATTATTAATTGCATTAAGTTTGTAACGTTTCTGGAATGAAAAAAAAAATAGAAACCGTAGGAGGTATTTATTGCCTTTTTATTCACGCGAGTGATTAAATACTTTGATAAGCATTTTCTGAAACGGCAACTATCACCTGACACTGGCACACACATAGAAGATTGATGATTTTTATTAAAAATTCAAAAGCACTGAACTCAAGAGCTTCACCTAGAACGGTAATTACTTCCTGAATATACTACTAATATTGTGTTGTTACACATTTATCAATTGTATTGATACCGATCGCTACTAAAAATAATAAATAATTATATTTCCGTGGTCAATTTACATCTAAATCTAAAATGTTTTATATATAATCTTAGCAGACGCTGTATGCTCATTCGTATTTAGAATGTATCCAATATTAGAAAAAAAAAACACTTACCAAGATCGCCTTCAGTCAATGGTCCAACTGATCCGAAGAATCGTTTGTCCAAAAGTTGAAGAAGTTGGAGAGCGGTGTCTCGGACGTTTGGACGTGGACACCCTGTATTCATCAGTGTAACATTGATGATGGCAGTATAATGATCACAAGGATATTCTCTGAAACAAATTAATGAAAATTGCTAACAAAAGTGGAAGCGTACGTAAAATTTGAAGTTAAAGAAGCCATCAAAAAAGAACATTTTTAACGTCACAACACAAAAAAAAATTGAAAACGCAAACTAAACGGCACATATTTGAATAACGCGCTAAATGAGACCACAGGTCGGCCATTTTTTGTCGATCGTTTGCTGTTACATTGTCGGCCATTACTTTTCTAATTGTTGTCGCCGTCGGTCATTTTGATTTTTAGTTGTTGCCACAATATGGCGGCTATCAGCCATTATGATTTTTAATTTTAATTTATTTTATTTTATTATTTTGTTATAATGTGACGTTCTAAACTGAATATATTGAGCGAAAAGTGTTGGTTCATATTTACATTGCATTAATGTGTAAAAGCCTCAAATGACGATAAACGATTAATGTTCAACGTCAACCAACCGTCCATTTGAGTTTTATGTTCACTTTATTATAGGAGAGAGCTTACTTTGTAATATAACAAAATGGTTAAACAACATCACTCAGGATACTTCAGTTTTATTGGGATATAACAATTAAAACAATTATCACTAAACCATTTTTTCGATCGATAGGAACCAATTTTTTAGTCATAATAAGCACTCTATTATATTCTATAAAAAATATCATTCAGTTTATTTAAAGTTAATATCTAAATCTTGCCAATTTCAAAAATGTATAGCATTTCCCAAATTAAATTTTACTGTCGGGAATGTTACACAGATTCGACAAAAATTAGAGTAGAAAGGTAAATAAAAAAAAGCGATTGATGTAGTTGGGAATTAGTTCGGCCCTTATCAGTGCCCACGAAATCGAGGTTTCGTCCTGTCGATCACGTCGAAGTTCTCCAGATGTATCGAATTTCTCCAGCTGCTTTAGTCGATACGAATGCTGGGTGTAATGTTACCACGAAAAAAAGTATTTTCGGTGTCAGTCGAAGTAAGAAAAATACGTAGCAGTGTAAAAAGTTTTATTTTCTCCAACGTGGAAGTGCGAGATGGCTACTTTTATTAAACGCGACACCACAAAATTGGAAAGACGAAAAAAAATCCAGGCAAAAGTCACAGGATAGAATGAAGGCAATTTGAAAAGGAAAATTCATTACAGTGGGTTGCAGAGAGAGGTTTCCAAATTTACAAAATGGTCCATGAGTGTAATGGCTCGTCATGATCAGAAGGTCATCAGTCCTAAAACTGGTTGGGCACGTACCTCCCCTCATTTCTATCTTAAGCTAATCGTTGCATTTCTTTAAGACTACAACATTCCACATCCTTAACTATTTGTGAATCTAGGTCTATATTTACCCCTCTTAACTCCTGTTTCTGCTCCCAATATGTCTCTGACTAGACCTTCATGCCTAAGAAGGTGTCCTACCAACCTATCTCGCCTATTTCTTATTGCCTTCAATAGAGTCCTCTGTTCTCCTACTATTTCTAATACCCACCTCCTCATTTCGAACCTTCTCTCTCCCACGGTATACACCTTTAACAATCTTTTTCGAATTCCTATATACCGAAAATCAGCGACTGCTTCTAATTTTTCGTCTCCTATCTTTATATTAATTCTTTTCCTACTCTATCTTCCCTTGCATACCAGTATTTTTGTTTTACTTTTATTCATTTTCATGCAATACTGTTTTGTCATTACTGCTTCCATTTTACTTAAGGCTATCTCTAGGTCTTCCTTGTCAGATGCTACTGCTATATCATCTGCAAATTTAAGGATATCTACCGATCTTTTGCCCCTATAAATCTATCCCTAAGGTTATCCTGTCTTTAATGATGTTTATCGCATTTTCGATTTATAGTGTACATCCTTGTCTGACTCCCTTCGTAATATTTACTCCTCTGCGTTGCTACTCAAGTTCTATAACTGCATGTTGCTCTTTATACAAACTTATGTCTCTTGTAACATTGTCAAAAGCTTTTTCTAAATCTACGAATCCTATATATCGTTTTCTCTATGACTTACCGCGTTCCTCTATTTCTTCTAAACACAAATTGGTCTTCCCCTAATATTTGTAAATTTCTTGCATCTATCTGCGCCTCTCATTTTAGTATGACTACTACTACGTTCCGTTTATAGTAGTATAGGAGTTTTCCCGTCTAATAAGTAATTATTATGCAAGAAGGAAATTGTACCATTTATGATACGACACGAACAGTATCTACACAAACCCCAATTCATAATACGTATAATATTATAGGCCCCTTTAAAGTACAAAAACATTAAATTATGAATTTTGTTCTATACAGTTACTTAGATCCCATTTTAATAATGACAATATACATTATACAAGGGATACAGAAAACAACGTCATAAATCTAAACATGAATATTAAAGTCTAAACTTATGAACATTCAAAAAGGTATAAATTATAACTGTGTAGAAATTCTTTTATATAAGTAAGTTATGAATAAAGTTGAAAACTTTATGAAACTCCTGAATCAATCTTGACAACAAACAAAAAAAAAAACAATCGCATTGAAACATAATAAATCGTTTACTAAAAAAAAGAGACGTCGGCAATTTTCTTTATAAGGGTTCAAATGTCAATATTACATATGCGTACCATTTAAACGAAGTTTGTAACAAATTCTCCTTTTGCCTTTTGATCCATTTTGAAGGCCATTAAATAATTTAATTTTGAAAGTGGAAACAATAAGGAAAAGACATCAAACCTCTCCTTTTGAGATTAATAGTACGAGAAAAACTAAAGGAAAACTGAAAGATTAAGTAAATACTTTAGGTAATTTTTTTTTACTGTCAGTGGATAACTGTGAGTTTTGACTGTTACCTTAAAAGGATTTAGCTATCGGCTGACTTTTTACGTAACTTAAATAAAACCTTAAAGTTCACGAAATGCTTAGGTATATTATTCACTAGAACTTTGTGTTTTTCCATTAACCCAAATCAACGCGGTAGATTTCGAAAGTCAATTTCAAAAAGAAGACACGGATGAAAAGCGATGTGTAAAAAGAATTCTTTGGTGGTAATGAGTAGTGGCAATCGACTTTCCTTTAATTTCGTAATAGAATTCCGGTTCAGTGAGATAGAAGTTTGTGAAAATATAACTTCTAAATAAACCAAGTCTACTTAAGGGATTACTTTAGCATTTAACCCATTATATACAGAGAAGAATATACTTATATGTTTTACGAAAACTGTCAACCATTTTATCTTGAAAATTTCCTACACAAACTTACAGCTAAACGAAATTAAAATACCTTAATTGTAAAACTTATAAAACGGTAAGGTAAAATAAAATCGTAGGCAGATAATTTTAAAGGAAGTTGTAAAGTTTGTGTTAAAGAAATCCAAATAGTTTAGCGAAAAACGTTATTTATAGAAAGAAAAAAAGAAAAATCTTTTTAATTTTAATTTATTTTATTTTATTATTTTGTTATAATGTGACGTTCTAAACTGAATATATTGAGCGAAAAGTGTTGGTTCATATTTACATTGCATTAATGTGTAAAAGCCTCAAATGACGATAAACGATTAATGTTCAACGTCAACCAACCGTCCATTTGAGTTTTATGTTCACTTTATTATAGGAGAGAGCTTACTTTGTAATATAACAAAATGGTTAAACAACATCACTCAGGATACTTCAGTTTTATTGGGATATAACAATTAAAACAATTATCACTAAACC